TTCCTCCATGCTACCTCTTCACAACCCTCCCTAGCAACTTTATGAGAATCGCTATTTAACCCTTGGGTGACCACATGATCAGCTCTTGCCTGAGATTGGTGGATATTAACTCTGGAGAGATATTCCTTCTCCGTGTCAGCGATTGTCTGCATCCTTGCGCTGAAAGCAGGTTGTGCTTTGCTTCACTTTGACCTAAGGCATTATTATAAATTCAGAATTTACATTTTGTCCACATTTTTTGCGCAATTTGAACAGAAGGAGCAGAAGAGAGCAATACCATGCACTTGCTGCCTGTCAGACCCTTCTGTGAATTATTTATACTAAAGGATATGAGAATAAGTGTGTATCCTTTAATAAAAATGATAATTGAACATAGCATGAACATCATTTTTAATTATCACAAATTAATTCCTAGGTCTAAACAACATTTTGATATTTCGTCACGTCTTTTAAGAGCCATTTACATTTCAAAACTGAGCAATTAGAATTTTCAGAATTATTAGAATTGAGTGTGACATCGGTGGTATGACAGGGATATCTGCCTTCACATTTTGGATCTGCTGGCACTGACAAGCGAGTGCGGGTACATTGTATTTAGAAATAGTCCATAATATTTTACTTCAATATCCTCTGGTCCGGTACATAAACCCTGACAAGTAAAGTATACTTGTAAAAACCTTGGAAATAAATTGCACATTAACTTTACTAGAATTCCTCGAGTACTGTACATCCTTAACTTGATGTTACCAAGTGAACTCAAGTGATTGCAATAAAGTTTAACTGCAAATTGATCTTATACAGTACATATATCGGAAAGGGCCTCCTCTGACTAGGATTCGTACTTAGAGCCTTTTGGATGAGAAGCGAAGGTGCTACCCACTCAACCACTGAGCCACCCTGCTAGCAACACACCTGCTATTTTCAACACTGTACATGTTCAAAAAATCAAAAGTGCAGCTTACTTGAACAGAGACTCCTCAAATCAAAGAAAGCCCAGAGTGATATAGCCAAGCTTTAAATAAACTAACAATAAACAAGTAATAATTACTTACAGGGAAAAATCAATTAAAGATAAGTTTGATATCCGAAGTATGATTGAAGTTAGGGTTCTTTGACTGCTGATGCCTCCTTCTTAATCTCCCTTTTAATGTATGTCTAAAAATCCTGCTTCGCATTCATACTGTTGACCCGGGTCAACTAAGCATTTGAACACGAGTCCAAAAACACGGATCTCCAGAGTGTAAACCCCTAAAGTGAGATACTTGTGAAAGTCTGAGAGCATGACTATACTTTGTTAGACGGGACAAAGAGCGAAAGAGTTTGGTTGTTTAGCGCAGTGTGTACTCTCTGCTCATGTAAACGCATTGACTATGGTGGATAAATGGATCACACAAGCTGAACACAGCAATGGAAGTCAGATGCTCTCATCTCCCTACATCTGCTTGTAGGTCCAAAAACACAGACTGGGGCCTCCGCGGGGCCCCTATGTCTGACTTTATTGTATGGTAAATGTCAGAAAATAAATGCAGGCCTCAGTAACAAAATGGAATTGGATCTAATCTGCCCCAGGCCGCAGTGTTTGATCCACCCCGCCTTTAGTGCTGCTACCCCCGTCTGGACAAAAAAAAAGTTTACCGCTCATTCAGGATGTTATGGTATTTGGCTGTATAATAATGTGACGTCACACTTCTCTATAACTGCTTTCATATGTTGCAAGACTGAAGCGCAAGGCTTGTCGACAATACACCACTTATAGTCTGCTCTTGCCTTTTTTTGGTCCATCTTTTCAGTCAGTAGGCTACTATGTGATTTGTGAATACAAGTTTTACAACGGCCGTAATCACCATTTTTTATTCCATTACGTATAACTCAGTTTATACTAACAACATTTACATACTGTATGATCAATGTAATATTCTTTAGTTCAGGAAGGTCTCATTGTATGTACTGTTTAACATAGTGGGCAGCGGAATGTGTATAAGATTTGCTCAAGGCTAATCATGATACCACAATGGAACATAGATCAAAGACAAATGGAACAAACTCTCATGCGTATGGTAGAACACATTACCAACAGCACGTCACTCACGTCTCCTGACAGGCTACAAGAGACCTGGACATGAATACAGCAATCTGGACACTTCTGTGTTACATTTGTCATGTCTCTGTTTGGGACAATGACAAGATAACACCCTTTCTCAGAACCATTGTGTCCATCAGTCCACAGAGGAGTGTCCTTCTTTTGAACATTGTAATACTGTTATTGTATTTGAATGCTATAGCTTAATGTGAGGGTGCATATTTTTGTAGACTGACTCATTCTAAAGAGTGGTACATGTTCAGGTTTTTACATTTCTCTCTTCCCTTTTCTATCAAAGCATTGACTCAGTGTGATAAATGCACATTGTCAAGCAGTGATGTAGACCTGTTGCAAAGCATGGAGACATGAATGAGTCAAGACCTGGTTTGTGCTATTTGCAATACGGTCTCAATTACTTTGTGTAGGTTTCCCACAAACCTCTGGCTTTATGGAGGGACGAATACACTCACTTCCCAACTGAAGCTAAAATTAAAATCAGATTGAGGTGGTTTGTATAACCCAGCTCAGTTTCCGACATTCTTTTTCAGGAGGCCCCATCAGTAGTCCCTCAGTGAACCGATTGTCATGTTGCATTAAACAGAACTAAGACCAAAAAAGTGTGAGACTGTTGTGACATCACAGTGGACTGCAAAAGTGGCAGTGGTCATGCAGATTGCAGACTCCCTTTAAAAGTTTACATTTTCTTGCCGATCTGCCTGAAGCCTCTGTATTCAGCTTGTTTGATTCTTAAAGTGATAGTCTGTAACTCTAATTGAATTACAAATTTTAGGAAATGTGTTAAATTGACCTCCTGGCCTTAAATGTTGATAGAAAATAAGTCATTTTATTAATTCTAATATTACGGGAAAGTCCCGCCTTCCCTTCTCTTAGCCATAGCTCAGAATCCACGATGCTCTCCACGTTAACCAATCGAGTCATGCCAAGGGCTGTCAATCATCGGCGCTGATGCTCGTAGCTGCACGCACGTTTTCGCGGAGCCTCCAAATCAAGCCTCCATTAGGCTCTGGAACTTCATGAAAACTGAACAAAGAATTCTGAACATCTGCGCTGAGGTATTCATTTATATACTGAACCTATATCCATAATCAGATCCTCTGCAGATGTGTCCTATAATGTACAATTCATGATAATAGCTTCTTCCGGGTTTGTTGCGATCGCTTTTTTTTGAGCATAAAAACATTATTTTTTTCATTAAAACGTTAACAAATAATTCTGAAAACCTCTGTGCATGTGTATTAATAATATACATGTATAATGTGTTCTCTGATTAACATTTAAAAGTGTTACGAAAACGTAGGCATAGACCAATCAGAAAGGAAGGGGGAGGAGCTTGCATCGTTTTTTTCAAATCAAGTACTCCTCTCTCTCTTTTTCTGACAAACTCCAGACAATCACTTTAAGCGAGCATACATTATATTTTGCATGAAAATAATTATGTCTAGAATTAGAGATGGTAGCTCTAGATTTTTAAAGTGGACAAAGCATGCAAAAGCAACCTTTTACAGAAATTGAGCATGTTTTTGCTTTTCTCCCTTCTCATGTGCACACCCAAATCTGCATGTTTGTGTTATCGATAGCCTCTTATACATATGCCATTGCAGGTCTCTGTCCACGGACACCTCGCCCCCCAAATTGTTTTTATTTAACTTCGTTCACCGATTTTCTTTTCTGTATCCCTCCTTTTGTGGTCATTCTAGCTCGAAGGAAGGAAAAAAATCTGCTATGGAGTAGTTTCTTGATTATTTGAATTATGTATTTTGTTTTTTGTGTAGAGGAATGTGCATCATCCTTAAAGAGGTCCCTTGCTTTTACTTTCTTGTGCTTGTGTGAAATCATAGCTTCATTTCATTGTTGTTGAAATAGTGGTGATATGAGGGCAGAGTACTTGGCTTTTGTTCTTCAGTCATGCACTTGTGCTCTCAGTACAGTGGAGTCAGTGGTACAGTGATCTGCTTCGCTCCGCTTCAGTGTTCAAAGGCTGAGTGCCCGCTGCTGCTCTGTCAGGCCCACACAAGAGTCCACCAAGTGTCTGCAGGAAACGGCTGATGAACCAGTGTGGGCTCAGAAGTGTATGTGTCGCTCCCTTTAAAGTATTTACATGTCATTACATGTGCACATATGTCTGACTGAGTGAGCGTGTGTGTGTGCGCATGCGTGTGTCCGGGACTTCGGCCTTGGAATGGTGTGCCAGGCAGTCAGCTGAGAGGAAGGAAAACAAGATCAGAAGTGTGTTCAAACTGGGACAAAGAGAAAGAAAAAATCATGCAGTTTGAGAGACAGCGGATATCTTACAAAAGTGATTTTTAAAAGCAGCGGCAGCAGGTGATGAGGTTTGAAGTTTTTCCTTGTAATTGTACAAAGTACATGAACTGGCAGGATTGGACAGACGGATATATTCAGGTATTTGGGATGTGCATAATATCACAGAGGGGAAGACAATAGGACAGGTGATGGATGCACGTGTCCATGGTGACACCTGCAGGTCTAAAATGTATGATTAATAACTAACCAATTCAAAAGATATAGTAACACAGTATTTACCATATTAAAACCATATTCAACACATTTAGATTAGTATTTGTATTATTTTTAAACTAAGCTTGTGTAGCCCCCATGCCAGATGATCTTTTAAACCACACAAAACACTCCATAACGATTATGTTTACTTTCACATTCCTTAAGTTTCTATGAAAGTTTCTGGCTGTGTTACTACAAACAATAGCTGTTGGTGCCACTCTTGATCCGAAACACACTACTCACTAAAGACTGCCTGCTCTGATCATTACAAATCAAGTTGATTACGTTTATCAGCATAGATGCCCAGCGACACTTCATAAAGAAGGATTAGAATGACTTGATGTAGCCTCAGAGCATTGATTAGGTAAATGTGATAGCAGATATGAAAGGCACTGACAGATGGACTAAGTGCTCTGCCACCCACGCTGTTGACAAGGTTGGGCACATGATGACGTTGTTGTCCGCTTAAGTTCAAACAGCCGCCGCTACAGTCAACCCCAGCACTCTTTGAACTGCACATGAATTGCATGCAGGTCTTTAAACAGCTGTTCAGAATGACCCTACCCCACAAAAATCAATGAATGCAAAGATACCTGGAAGGGTCAACTGCTGACTGTAAAACAACGGTCTGATGTACTATACATGCGTCTGAATATTCAACCTATTACTTGTGATTCTGACCTAAGTTCCGGAATTGCACTTGTGACTTGTGGCCTCATTGTGGAAAACTCTAAACACACTGTCAAGGTGTCCTTTACAATGATTAAAAGTGCCAATGGACTTGCTAACCTCTTACTTGTATCTGCATTGGATCCAGAATGAATGACAGTTTTAAGGTTCAATAGCTCTGTTCCCACACCCTACAGGGCAAGTTTGGTTGGTGCTCGTGCCTCAGTCCCTGCTCCAGTCTCCTGGATGCCTGTCATATGTGTGAGTGCTGGAGAGTTATGTGTTAGTTATCGCCTGGTGGAAAAGCAGTGCCCTTGTTGCTTCATATAGCCTGGCTCGAGTGACCGGCCATTGATAAGGCTAATGTCTCCGATAGCTACCAAGCTTTCAAGTCCCGTCACAAAACAGGCGGCTCCCTTTTATGTTGTTTTCCCAAGCCAAGGACAGACAGGGCTCCCTACAGGACTGAGCTGGCTAATCAGTAATCACTTGGTGCTGAGGCCAGCAGTCCACTTCAGATCCACTGCTTACCAACATTTCTTCTACTTGAATATGATTGGGATTGCCATTTGTTTTTGTAACTTCCAGTAATGTACAAGTTCATATATATCCAGGTGAAACTTTGAAATTATGATAGTATTCCAAATGTGAATCCAATATATGATATAGACTCAGTACACACAAAGTGACATATGTCCAGCCTTTTTTTTTGTTATAATGGTGATGATCATGGCATACGGTACATTTTCAAAATGTTGAAATGAAAATGTTTATTATGGTTTTTACAAACTCTGGGCCAATAGTCAATATTATAACTAAAAAGGCTTGATATATCTCACTTAGCCTTTAATGAGTCATATATTAGTTTCACATTTTAAGTTGAAGAAGTGAACTCTATACTGCTAAAAGCAGCAGTTTGAACATTGATTTAAATGGTAAATGTCCAAAAAAATCCAATTTTATTAGTATTCATGTTGAATGATAAAATTATTATTATCTTATGAAAATGACCAGCACAAAGCAAAGCAAACATTCTATTTGGTGTTGTCTGACCACTTCACCTTCTTCCATCTGTTCACAGATTCACTCAGATGACTTCTTGGAGTTTTCTCTCAGCACTGGCTTCTTCTGGGCACATGTCCATAAAGGCCCATGTTGTCCCCAGCTGAGCTGTGGATGTCTGCAGAGGTACCATGGGTTCCTTGGCTGGTTCTCTGGTCAGTGCTCTCCTTGTTCAGCTTTAGGTGCACGGCTGTTGTTTGCTAGCTTTGCCGTTTTTCAATACTGAAAACCTAACTTGAAAAAATCTTATGCACACTGTTTCCCTCTTCTTTGGTTTTATTGCAGAGTTTGGAGTTTGCTTCATCAAAAGTGTCTGCTGTTAAGGGTTTCCTGTTTGTTCTGTGAATTGTGTTGTGCAGAAGTTTATTTTCAGACAGTGAAAATAAGTAAATCATATGTACTTTTTTCACAAGTATGTACATTTTCAGATTCCACAGCATCTAAAGCCAATATAGTCTAGAGTCACTAAAAACATAATTTTATTTTCTATGTTTGGCTTGTTCTTGTTCTACTGTATTGCCAATTAGAGATGCTGTTGTATTCACAATCTTTACACAAGAGACATCTGCCACCCACATGGTGTTTTATGAAACATTAGTACCACTATATGGCTTCATTTAAAACTTGCCAAATAAATTGATTAGGTGACAGAGAGTAGACAAAAGAGAGCTCATCTCTGGCCACTATCCTCTTGACCGAGCCAACTACAGCAGGGCTGCTAAAAAAAACTTTTATTCAGAATCAATCTGCTCATGTTTGGCACTAGAACCTGAAAATCTGTTAAGTTTGTACAGTATACACTACCACTGCAGACTTTGTGTGTTGGACATAAGTAACTAGCACAATATGCAACATAGATATAAGGAAACTATAGGAATGAATGGATATGTTAAATGGATGTATGTGACTGTTGTTGAAAAGTCCGAGTGGAGCACATTCCTGGTGCCCTGGTGCTGTGTGACTGACCAGCATAACCAGAGCCAGATGGTACCTGGTACAGACTAAAGGCCCATTGAGGCTAATTCTGCCTTTAGAGAGACACACTGCACTGGACATAAGGCTTTTATGGGCCTAGGACAGGGTTAGATGAAGGACAAAGCAGCCTGGCAGTGACTGAGCATATTACAGTAGTTAAAAGAACACCTCTATTCAAGAATCTTTGGGATGATGTTATTTAGAGTCACCCCATCCATGTATCAGAATCCGAATCAGGAATATTTTTTCTATTGTCAGTAACAGGAAGTAAAAAACTAGGAACTTGCTTAGGCTCATGGTGCAAAAAAGTTATTAATGTAAAAAATAGATATGGAGAATTGCATAAAATATGTATATACTGTATATGTAAATATGAATAAAATGAGTTTAAAAGTCTACTATATACAGTGGTACAAACAAAAATGAATGCCGTTCCAATTTAATTATAAAAAAAAAAAATTTACAATAGATTTTAAGGGCAGGGTATTGACATCGCTCTCTTACAAGTGTCTGACATAGAAGAATTGATTATAACTTCATACTGACAATGCAAAATGTGTCTTTAATGTCATTACGGGTTTGATTCTGGAAGGTGAAGAGTAGGCCTGGATAAACATTAATAAAAGATTAAAAGGTTTTATTGTGATTGACCTTTATAGAAACAGAAAGGAAAAATACCTTTCCCTGACTCAGACTGAAAGTTATCAAATGCCTTGCCCCTCTCGCTCTCTGCACCACTCCTCTTTTCACACCCACTTTGGGCAATAATTGAACCAAATTATACTGAATATAATATCCTTATCACTTGCCAGTCAACCTCACCCATTACTCAATGACCACTTACATCAAAGAGTCTCAAGCCGCGTGTCGGGAAAAGTTATCAGCATTGTGTTAATGTGTGCGTACTTTCACTTTACTTGAACAATCATTATTTCTCTTCGGCTCAATTTGCATGTAAATCAGTAATATTTTCTTCCTCGCTGGTGTCACAGTCACTCGCCGTGCACACTGGGGACACACATTACAAAGATTCTTTCCATCATTCCAAACATGGCAATCATCAACCAATCACATGCATTCAGGCTCCCGTCCGTCATGTTGCCCTATCCTGCCCGACAACACTCTGAACTCTCTTGCATTTGAAGCTTAAATACTGGTGTTTTATGTCCATACTCACAAATGTTTCATATGTTTTGACAAGCGTTCATTTGAGTTGAAAAGTGTGTGTTGGAAATGCTGTAAATTGTGACCAAATTAAACTTTAGTGATCATAAAAGTCCACGCATATTCAGACGGTTGACCACGTTTTTGGGGAAGCGGAATGCACAAATCCATGCACCGTATTTTTGGTTTCTTTAAAAAAAGTATTGTCAACAACACAAACAGCAAGAATATACACATACATACATGCACACATACACAGACACGCACACACACACTCACACACATAGAGGCACAGACGCACACACTCACACAGACACAGACTCACAAACACACACTCGCACGCACGCACACACACCGCATACTCACACACAGACACACACATGCGCTCACACACACAGACGAACACACACACACACCACACCACATACTCACACAGAGACACACACGCACACACACACATGCAAACACAGACTCACACACACACAACACATTCTCACACAGAGACACACACGCACATAGGCATACAGACTCTCTCACACACACACACATGCAAACACAGACTCACACACACACACAATACATTCTCACACAGACGCACACACACATAGACATACAGACTCTTTCACACACACCCACACGCAAACACAGACTCACACACACACACAACACATTCTCACACAGACGCACACACACATAGACATACAGACTCTCTCACACACACACGTACACAGACTAACACATGAGCATGCACACAAACACACACGCAGACACACAGCACAACAAAGGAATCAAACATGTTGACAATTAGTACATAAATTAAAATCACAATTATTGGTCTACTAATTCATTTCTCATTTTCCTTTATTCAATTCAAACAATAGTTAGATTTAATATTCTCAAAAATAATGATCCCCAGGTGTTGGATTGTGTATGACTAGCCTTAAACCGTTTCTTGTATTTAACCTAACCTAATGTCGACCTCATCAACAGGGTTTTGGCGATCCACCCGTGCATTTGTGTGAGATTAGATGAAGGGAAACACATATGTCACTTGTATGTATGTGAGTTTTTCCTTGTCGATGCAGGAGGGTCTGTTGGAGAGTTAGTGTCCAACAAAAAGGATGTGGTGATGATCCAGGACACTTTAACATTGTACAACATGTACGGACATTTATCAACATGTGTTCTATATTCTTCTTGTGTTTTAACTGTTGATTCTCTGATCTGTGTTGGTGATTTCAACGGTTTTGTTAAGTCCTCTGAGATGACCTCTGTTGTGATTTAGGGCTATACAAGAATAAGTTGTGTACTTGTAAATTGTAATTTAATGAAATACTTTCTTTTATCTGTAATGAGTTTTTCTGTACGCATGAATCTGCTTTTGTGTGTTGGAGGTTATAATAGTTCTTGAGTTTGAACTGTTGGATCTGTTTTGGCAAATTCAGCGGTTGTGTAAAGTCCTCCGAGTTTATTACTGTTGTGATTTAGGGCTATACAAGAATAAGTTGAATTGAATTGAATTGAAGACACATTAAAGATACACATCCTGTTGACTGTTGCGTGGTAAGAGTATGTGTTGAAATGACTTGAAGTGCATAGCTTCATTGTGAGTCTTGGTGAGTTGTGTGAATGTTTACATCCTCATTTACATGCAGAATCAGCTGATTGTGGCCAGCTGGGTTGGACTTTCAGCACTTCCTCTTTCTCAGTCCACACTTCCCCTCAGGAGCATGAATGAGAAGACTCATGATCAACACTCTTACCTCCATTCATCAAATATCACTACCATGCATTTGTCTTTAGCTTATTCAAAGAAGATTAACACAATATTAGTTTAGGAGAAGTACCGTTTTATATGTTTTTACCTGGAAAGATTCCATGCAAACATCCATCAAGCTATATTTATGGTTACTAATAGGGCATTTTACACAAATACTAATATATACATTTTACTAATTAGTTACTCGCTGACCTCTTAATCCTGTGTTGTGGAAAAAGACATTTTGTAATTTGTAACATAGAAACCCCTATCAGGGGCGACAGTGGCTCAGTTGGTGGAGCATTGGCCTTTGAGCCTGAAGGTCGTGGGTTCGAGCCCATCATGAGACCCTCTCTACCGACTCCCTCTAATGTCTGCTGTAGTTGTATCCTTTGGCAAGACACTTAACCCCACTTTGCCTGAAGCTCCCGCTGAAAGATCAAGGCTATGCCATAGAGCGGCCATCCTCCTGTGGACTCACCACCTGCAGGAGGATCAGTGAGGGGCCGGTGCTATGTGTACTGGGTGGTATCTCTGGCCACCCCCCCAACTCAGAAATGGATTAAGGGGTAGAAAATGGATGGAGGGAAACCCCTATCATACTTTTTTTAGTTTGTTTATTTTTTATTTCAGTCTCTTCACTCAGACTACAAAGTATAATCAAAGCATAAACAAAGTATAAACAAATAACTGAAAGGGTTTTGGCTGAAGTGAAACACTTATTGAAGCAAAACCCCAAACAAATTAATTACAATTTACAGAACCAGGCATACTCATTGTGTGGCGCAAATAACTATGTGTGAATTTGGTGTTTAACATTTCTGTAAAACCGTTGAAAACACTGAATAGTGGTTATATGAAAGTCAAGTGGTGTCAGCAGCTATCTTGTGTGTTATCTGCCCACCAGAAAAATGCAGAGGTCTGACGTCACATTCTCCAATTAGTTGCACCCGCTCCCTTACGTGACATCAACATTATTTTCTTATGTACCAAAACGGCTGTAGAACAAGTACAGACGTGTGCAGAAAATTGCAGGGGCAATAATGGAATCTCTGTGTGAGATTTTGAAGAGCTCAAATACGCATGAATCTCTAAAAAAGGCCAAAACAATCATAAAATGGTTCTTAAAAGTTGGTTTTCCTATTTAAATAAAACTTAACTCAAGGAACTGTTTAATAAACTGTATTCATTAGGTCATTTAAGTACCAGTACTATTACCTTCATGTGTGTGGAAGTAGATGTGTAATATACATTTCT